GATATTATGTACAAAAAACATATGATGAAAACATGGTTTACCTAAACATTGTGTCTAAGTAAGTTGATCACTGCACATTTGAACCAACACTTATAACTCCATAAGTTTTTTTTTTTTTTTTTTTTTTTTTTTAATTTAATGAGTAGAAGAAAGTGAATAAGCCACTTAAAATGATCACTAACCGAGGAAGAGTTTAATATAACCTTAATGTTGCAGGAGAATGTTAAAAAACAGTTTATAAAGATTAATCTATCATTTGTAGTTAACAAAAGATAAAGTAACGTTAAACTACAAGACATGATCTTGCAAAAGAAGGCCAAAAAAACAACCTACAAGGATGTGATCTTGCACGAACACGACTTTACATCAATATGATCATCTATAGAATCTTAGATAATTCACCCTTTTTTGACATAAATAGTTCGTTCTCTAGTAGGTGCATAGTCGATTCGTTCTTCATCAAATAACAACTTACTTGCGAAGAGTTGGTTTATTGCGTTAGTTGATGTAACAGTTCATTTTCTAGCAAAACTGTTTAGAATAATTTTACAAAAAATTTGTTAAGAGTTAAATTAGCCAATCACAAATAGTAAAATTTTCCCTAATCATGCTATTGTTTTGTTTATTGATATATGCCTATTGTACATACTCAAAATAACTAGAGCTATTCATTAAAACCACCATATTCATGACATATTTAAAGCCCGTCATCACAACAAATTTATTACAAATCCACTTACCACATTTATTACATATTTATTATGCATTTTGAGGCTCGCGAACAACTCAATTGTATTACCTATTCACTCATCAAAATTAAAAAGCTATAAACTAAAGTGGATAAACTTGTAATTTGATCATATTCATCATCTCATTCCTCTTTCTCTCTTCGATAATAGACCGTCGACCGTCTCCATCAACAAACACCGACTTCTCCTGCCATCGTCGCCAATCTCCTCTCCCACCATCGCTACACGTCCATCGGTTCTCATTCTCTTTCCACCGCCACTAAACCTCTTCCACATCTCATTCCTTTTTTATGGATTGTGTTGGTGGTGGTGCTTGACGGAGACGAAGAGGATGTAGGGAGGAGTTTGATGCGACAAAAGTTTGAATGTGACGGTGGTGGATGATGTGCCACTGACAAGTTCAAGGGTAGCAGTGGGCTGCAGTATTGGAGTCTTGGATATCACTATCCACTTCAAGGGTAGGGTGTGGGTGGTGGGGTAATCAATTTAATATTTAAAATATATATAACAAGAAAATTAAAAGACAAAATCAGTAAACAATAGAATATGTTTTTTTTGTGATTTTTTGAAAATAAAACTTCTTCAACGAGGGTTTCTGACAAACTTTCGTGCACCAACTAATCCCTACTGCGAACATAAAACTATATCTTATGTCCTAGAATCACTTTAGACGAACCTCCATGACCATATGAACTAAGTAATGTTATGATTTGAACATTATTAATAAGGATTCACCAAATCTTTCACATGCCGTACAGAGTAACCACAACCCAAATGATTATTTTTGTGATTTTCACATACTTAATAGAGGGGTATTGCTAAATCTGCCTTTAAGTTCAATAGATTTATATTCGAAGCTGGTCTTACGGATCATAGAATGGGTGGGAAAAAATTCACTTATTTTTGTAGTGGTGAACTCAAACTTAGCAAGTTAGACCGTATACTTGTCTGGTTCAAACTTCACCAATGCTTTCCCCTCCTCGGTAGTCACTGCTCTACCTAGAGAAACTTCAGATCATTGTCCTGTTTTGTTGACTACTGAAGTGGTGGATTTTGGTCCTCCTCCGTTCAAACTATTCAACTCGTGGTTTCAGAAATATGGTTTTAATGAGACAGTCACACAAGCATGGTTAGAATTTAGAGGTTACGGTACTCCTGACTCCTATCTGGCGGCTAAGTTAAAACATCTGAAAAACGAGATTAAGGCACGGAGGAGACTGGATTACCCCAAGGAACTAACTGATCTTAAAAAGATTAAAGATCATTTACAAGAGCTAGACTTAAGTGCTGAGTCTAGAGTTCTTAGTAATGATGAAATCTCATAGAGGAGAAACCTATTCCAAAAAATTGTTCGAGACGGAAAAAAATAATGCCCAGGACTTAAAGCAAAAATCTAGAATAAAATGGGGGTGTGGATGGGGATGAAAATTCTAAACTCTTTCACGCCTTCGTCAACAATAAAAAAAGGAAAAACAGAATAAATGGGCTGCTAATAAATGGTGAATGGAAAACAGAACCAGATGCGATAAAAGGCGAGGTCTTCTGATTCTTCAAAAACAAGTTCTGTGAACGATGGCATCTAAGACCTAAACTTACGAATGAAAACCTCAAATCCATATCATCTACCGACGTTATTTTGTTGGAGGCCCCCTTCTCAGATGAAGAAATTAAAACAGCTGTTTGGTCTTGTGGCGGTGAAAAGGCCCCTGGTCCCGATGGGTTCACGTTCAAATTCATTAAAACTTATTGGGATTTGCTAAAGAAGGATATAATTGCATTCGTTAAACATTTCGAGCGGCATGGAGTTCTAGCTAAAGGTTGTTGCTCCTCTTTCATCACGTTGGCTCCGAAGATCAAAGATCCTTTAAAATTGAATGATTATCGACCCATAAGCTTGATTGGTTGTCTATACAAAATAATCTCTAAAGTTCTGGCAACGCGACTCAAAGTGGTTATAGGTAGTATCATTGGAGAAGAACAAATAGCCTACGTGGAAGGAAGAAACATTTTGGATGGCCCTCTTATAGTGAATGAAATATGTTCATGGTATAAGAAGTCAAAGAGGAAAACATTACTATTTAAAGTCGATTTTGATAAAGCCTTCGATTCGGTGAGTTGGGAATATCTTGATTCGACTCTAGCACAAATGAATTTTGGTCACAAGTGGAGAAATTGGATTAAAGGTTGCTTGCGGGCTTCGAGAGCTTCTGTAATCGTGAACGGGTCCCCGACTGATGAATTCGATATTACTAAAGGCATGTGACAAGGGGATCCACTCTCTCCTTTTTTGTTTATTTTGGCTATGGAAGGATTGAATGCGGTAATGAAAACTGCGTGTGCAAAAGGCATTTTTGATGGAGTACGACTTCCTAACAATGGACCAATGATTTCACATCTATTCTACGCGGATGATGCGTTATTCATTGGTGAATAGTCTAAAAGAAACATCAGAAATTTAGCTCGGATTCTTAGATGCTTTCATGCAGCCTCTGGTCTAAAGGTAAATTTTCATAAGTCTAAAGTCTTTGGGATTGGAGGGTCATCACAAGAAACTTCTACATGGGTACATCTACTTGGATGTGAGCCTTCTTCCCTACCTTTCAATTATTTGGGTGTTCTTGTTGGAGCGAATATGAATATAAAGTCAAACTGGAAACCTATAATTGAGAGATTTCAAGCAAAGCTCTCGGACTGGAAAGCCAAAAATATTTCTTTTGGAGGGCGCCTAACACTGATTCATTCGATGTTGGGCAATCTTCCCACTTACTATCTTTCTCTTTTTGTTGCCCTTGCAGGTGTGATTTCACAATTGGAGAAGCTTAGACGTAGATTCTTATGGGGAGGCTTAGAAGATAACAAGAAAATCAGTTGGGTGTCATGGAGTAAGATCACTAAGGCTAAGGAGGACGGAGGCCTTGGTGTAGGTGCGATAGAAGATCTCAATATATCTCTAATTTGCAAATGGTGGTGGAGACTGAAGATGGAGAAAGAGTCGCTATGGAACGAAGTTATCTCAAGCATCCACAACTTGGGAATGAGATCGGCATATGAGTTATCTAACAAATCTACAACAGGAGTATGAAACAATATTGCTAGATTGAAGGTTGTGTTGGCTAAGAGGGGCATTCCAATAAGTACTATTATCAAAAGAAAGGTTAATCTGGAGAGGATACACTATTTTGGAAGGATGAATGGATTGGTGACAAACCACTGCAACTTGTTTTTCCCAATTTATATTGTCTAGAGTCGCATAAGAAATGCAAGATCTTGGATCGAATATATGATGACGGGCTTTCAAGGTCTTGGTCTAGCCAACCCGATCCACATCATGTGAACCAACTAAGGCAAATACTTCAATCAACCTGCCTAAACTCAAGCAATGATTCATGGTCATGTGAATTAGATTCAAATGGGAAATTCTCTGTTGCAACATGTAGAAGGAGGCTAACAAAGGCTGACATTGGATCAGATGGTAATCCCTTTCTGTGGCTGAAAGAAGTTCCTACAAAAGTTTCGTGTTTTGTTTGGAGAGCAGTTCAAAATCGTATCCCCTCTGCATTGGCTCTCAAGAATCGAGGAATCAATATTGCATCGGTTACGTGAGGTGAATGTAATTTAGTAGAGGAGTCAACTGACCACCTACTGTGTGTATGTCACTTTGCCAAAACTACTTGGGAATGAATATTTAGATGGTGTGGTATTTCGATGCCCTCATTTGATAAAGTATCCGAACTTCTAGAATTTGCGGCGACATGGGGAACTGTCCAAAAAAGAAATAGGTCTTGGTGGGTATATGCTATGGTACGATGTGGTGTCTGTGGAAAGCGAGAATGATCGGACCCCATCAATCAGGATTGCATCTATAAAGGTTGTGGACATGGTTCAGTCAGTCATCGGTGTTCATGTGGTTTAAGCATAGAAGCAATAATAAAGTTTATAAATGGATAATTGTGTATTAACTTATGTAACTTATGTATAACGAAGTATAGGGGAACTTGATATTCTATATTGTGGTGACGACTGTTTTTCTGTATCCCTGCCTTGATTGTGAGACTGAGTTTTCTTTTAGCTTAATAAAATTTGATGGTTCAAAAAAAAAGAGACCAATCATAATAAATTTTGAAATCATGCAAACCATTTGACACCAATTTTTTAAAACCTGGATTAAAAGTGCATATTAATTAATGCCAACCACATAAACTAAAAGTGTAATTTATATAATACCTAAGTAAATAGCTATGCCGGGTAAGAATGCTCCCAAACTCCGGAGGGTGGACCGAGGTCCGTCGGAAAAAAACAACGGCGACAAACATGGAGATTACCAACTTATACGTGGTAGGGTTCCCTGATGGTGTAAGGAAGTCAGAACTATGGAAACTTTTTGCTAGATTCGGGCAAGTAGTTGATGTGTATCTGGGAAGGAAGAAAGACTATAGAATGAAGAACTTTGCATTTGTAAGATTCAGAGGAGTTGAAGATGAAAAAGTGATGGAAGAAAGGCTACAAGGAACAACATGTAGAGATGTTATACTTAATATCAATCTCTCCAAGCATAAGAGGAAACCACTTCGTGCTGCCCACCAAAACGTCCCCCAACATCAAAACAGTAGAAATAACATCGCAGCACACATGCCCATGTCATACCCTCCTACTGCAGGTTTTAGAGACAAACGTACCTTTGCACAGGTTATGTCGGAATCTCGAAGGGATAATATGACTTCCACTCGTACGATAACTTTAAACTCTGAAACGGCAATGAAAACATGGATGAATGGGAAGACATTAATTGGAGAGGCCCATAGCATAGATCACATGGCGAACTTACCTGCTTCAACGTTCATGAAAGAAAACGTCAAATACCTAGGAAGTCTAAACATAGTGCTGGGGTTTGGAAGTTCTGTGATGGCTAGAGAATTCCTTGAAGCTAAAAACATATGGCAAGATTGGTTCAAATGGATGAAACATGCGGAGCAATTGGAGCTACCATATGAAAGAATAGCATGGATAAAAATTATTGGTCTCCCGTTGAGACTGTTTGATGAAGAAAACTTCTCCAAGATTGCGGGAAGTTTTGGTAAAGTAATAGCTCCCTTCGACAACATCTCAACCAGAAAAGACTACTCCATGGGGAAGCTAGGAGTGCTAACGTCCCAAAAAAAAAATGGATAAACGAGGAAATCAGGGTTATGGCGGATGGAAAAGAATATACAATTGGTATAGTAGAATATACTGATGATTGGTCCCCATTCCATCCAGCTCCATTCGATAAGGTTGAGGTGAACTCTGATGAAGAAGGTAACGATACAGACGAAGGTGACGATGTCGACGAAGAAGACGGTATCTCAGATACCTGGATGGGTCAAGACGACAACGATATTGAAGATGGTGAGATACCACCAGAAAAGTGTACAGAACCTGTAATCTCATCGGAAATAAGTTCTTCGCCGGAAATATGCCCATCGCCGGCGGTAAGTTCGACTCCCGTAACAGAAATTAATGCGGTAGTTTACTCATGCAATAATGATACGACGATTCCCGAAAATACGGCGACTATTGAAATTCTAGAGTCAAGTACAGCTGGAGGATTACATCAAGAGACACACGACACGGTGGTTCTTGAATTAATTAATAATGGCGGCACAATTGTACAGAAGACAACAACGCAACTTAACAAATTGGGTAATGATTGTAACCCTTTTGGGTCTTCACAGAATATGGTCCAATTTGGCTGTTTTGGGCCATTTCCAAACCCATTTTTGCCCCACCATCCTACATCGGCCCAAAAGGTTGGAAGTAACTCTCGATTGGGCCCAGACAGTGGTAAACCAAAAATTAAAAAAAGAAAAAGAAATTCAAATTGCTCCAAATCACAGTCCCCATTATTCACGTTCAAATCCTTGGAACCCCAAATTGATACTCCCCCACCCCCTACGGACAATGGTATTGGTGAGATTGATATCGGCGTGCCTTCATCTCTGGACCTCAACAGGAATCTGAACATTAACACAAGTGATTGTGATGATATTCGTGCCGACTGTTCTAGTTCGTGTGCAGACGAGATCATCCAAACTGTTGAAATTGGAGCGGAAATTGGGTTTCAAATTGAAGCAGGAAATCCAATTCTTGCCGAGATTGCTGGCGATACTGAAGCTATCCACGGTTGCCAATGAACTGCATCTCCCTCAATATCAGAGGCATCGGAGTGGATGCCAAGGTGAACTGGGTCAGAAGATTGAAAACTAAATACAAAGCAAATTTTGTTGGTCTCCAAGAAACACAGCTCCTTGATTACTCTAAGATTAATGTCAGCGGTTGTTGGGATTCTCCGGAATACGACTTTGAAGGGGTAAACGCTAATGGAAGATCAGGTGGTCTAATCTCGATTTGGGACACGAGATACTTTCAAAAGTCAGAGGTGATTAAACATAAATTCTTCTTAATAATAATTGGTACTTGGAAAGGAAGCACTGGCAACACCATATTTGTTAATGTATACGGTCCTCACACTCCTTTGGAGAAAAAAGAAACATGGCGTGAATTACTTCAAATCAAGCAAACGAAAAGAGGTAAATGGTTAATCTTTGGTGATTTTAACGTTGTAAGGAGGAAGGAGGAGAGATTCAGATCCCAATTCTGCTCAACCAGTGCATCAGATTTTAATCGCTTTATAAGGCTAGCTGAGATTCATGACTTTCCCATGGGTGGTGAAAGATTCACATTCATGAGTAGAGTTGATGCAAAGCTAAGCAAACTTGACCGATTCCTAGCTTGCTCGAATTTTTTGGCTACTTTCCCCTCAATAACTGTTACGGCTCAGCCCCGTGATCTATCTGATCACTGCCCAATTACACTAATCTCTGACAGTGGAGACTTTGGACCTCCCTCATTCAAATTCTATAACTCATGGTTAATGTTAGATGGTCTGGACAAAATTGTACAAGATGCCTGGGCTGGATTTTCAGGATATGGTAATGCAGATTCATATCTTGCGGCTAAACTGCGCCACCTAAAGGAAGAGATAAAGAAGTGGAGAAGAGATGAACACAAAAAGGAGAAACAAGAGTTATTAGACTCTAAAGAAAAAGTTCATAATATTGAAAAGACTGCTGAAATAAGGGCTCTCACCTCAGAGGAACTATCATCTAGAAGTAATTGCCTTCAGAAGATACTTGAACTTGAAAGATTGGCAGCCATGGACCAAAAACAGAAGGCGCGTCTGAAATGGACTATAGATGGAGACGAAAACTCAAAACTATTCCATGTATACGTAAACAGTAATAACAGGAAAAACAGAATTGCAGGTCTAATGATAAACGGAAGATGGGCTTCAGAAGTGAAAGAAATCAAAGATGAGGCTTTTCGGTTCTTCCAAAACAAATTTAAGGAGAAATGGATTTCACGACCAAAACTTGTAAACTCTCATATCCGGTCTATTGGCATGATGGACGCTATTAGATTGGAGGCTCCATTCTCTATTGATGAGGTGAAGAAAGCAGTATGGGCATGCGGAGGAGATAAGGCCCCAGGCCCTGACGGGTTAACTTTTAAGTTCTTAAAAAAGTACTGGAGTTGTGTCGCTGCAGATATCATGAGATTCGTACAATATTTCGATGAAACTGGTTCTATAGGTCGGGGTTGCAATTCCTCGTTTATCACTCTTGCACCCAAGGTTAAGGACCCGACCTCTCTTTGTGACTACAGGCCAATCAGTCTGATTGGCTGTATGTATAAAATTATCTCAAAGATGCTTGCTACCAGGATTAAAACAGTTGTGAGCAAGGTGGTTGGTGAGGAACAATCGGCTTACGTGGAGGGGCGAAACATTCTTGACGGCCCATTAATTGTTAATGACTTATGTGGGTGGGCAAAAAGTATCAAGAAGAAGATCCTGCTATTCAAGGTAGACTTTGATAAAGCCTTTGACTCCATAAATTGAGAATTTTTAGACTCGATACTGCTTTAGATGGGTTTTGGCTCGAAATGGAGATCTTGGATACATGGGTGTCTGGCCTCGTCTCATGCATCTGTGATAGTCAACGGATCTCCTACCAAGGAGTTCAACATCACAAAAGGCGTAAGACAAGGAGACCCTCTCTCACCTTTTTTGTTCATAATAGCTATGGAGGGATAGAATGCTGCAATGAAATCTGCTGTTGAAAAGGGCATTTTCAATAGCATTCAAGTACCGGGTGATGGACCAGCAATATCTCATCTATTCTATGCAGATGATGCGTTGTTCGTCGGTGAATGGTCGAGGTCAAATCTGAAAAACCTAGCACGCATTCTCAAATGTTTTCATGTTTCATCAGGTTTGCGAGTGAATTTTCATAAATCCAAGGTTTTTGGTGTTGGGGCTTCTAACACCGAAACTGCACAGTGGGCACATATTTTTGGATGCGAGGCTGGTGTACTCCCATTCACCTATCTTGGGGTTCCGGTTGGAGCCAACATGAACCTGAAAAAAAACTGGAACCCAATCATTGAAAAGTTTCGAAACAAACTCTCTCGTTGGAAAGCTAAAACCCTTTCATTTGGTGGAAGGCTTACCTTAATCAAAGTTGTTCTAGGAAATCTTCCTACCTATTACATGTCATTATTTAGAGCTCCCATCGGAGTCATTGAAAAACTGAAGAAGATAAGAAGGAAATTTTTATTGGGGGGGGGGGGGGGGGGGGGTCATGAAGAAAAAAATAAAATTAATTGGGTTTCATGGGAGAATGTTATCGCTCCTAAGGAACTTGGTGGCTTGGGAGTCGGAGCAATTCGTACACTGAATGTTGCTCTCATTGTTAAATGGTGGTGGAGACTTAAATTTGAACCCTCCTCACTATGGGCCAGAGTCATTGTAGGACTTCATAATCTGGGAAATAAACCTGTTGAGTACTTAGCAAAAAAAAAAAAAACTGGAGTTTGGAAGAATATTGTTGGAGTTAAAAAGGATATTGATGCATTGGGACTTAGTTATAATGATATCTTCGTGCAAATTGTCAAATCTGGGGATAATACTCTGTTTTGGCATGACTCGTGGGCTGCTGGTGGTGTAAACATGAAAACAAAATACCCCAGATTATATGAACTTGAAAAAAAGAAGTCATGTAAAGTTTCAGAGAGAAAAAACGAAGGCGGGAACATGTGGAATTGGAGATCATGTCCTATTGTTGCTGGTTGCTCCTCTGAACTAGAACGTCTTGTCAACGACATGGATTCGATACGATTACAACCTGGGGTCGATCAGCTGTCATGTTTACTATCGGCGGATGGAAAATATAGGGTGAACCTCCTCAGGAAAAAGATTGATCAGGGCTTCACCGCAAATGTAAACCATTTTCAAATAAGTTGGTGTAAACTCATTCCAATTAAAGTAACTACATTCATATGGCGTGCTGTGATGGGGAAAATACCGTCAGCTGTAGCCCTCTCCTATCGTGGGGTTACTCTCGATACTTGTAATTGTAGCTCATTTATTGGTGGAATTGAATATGCAAATCATATTTTGGTGGAATGTCCTTATGCGAAGTCAGTCACGAAGTCCATACTTAACTGGTGCGGAATAGATCAGATCGATTTCCATAATGTAGAAGAGATTACTTGTTTTGCAGCCAACTGGGGGAGATGCCCTAAGAAAGGGAACGATTAACAGCCATTTGCTACGGGATGCTGTGGAGTATATGGAGAGCTAGAAATGATCGGATATTCCAGGCAAAATTCATCACTCCAAATGGTGTGGTGGACAATATCAAAGCTTTAGTTTATTTGTGGGTAAAATGTAGAGGTAAATGTGGTTTTTGTAACTGGGAAGAGTGGCTCTCTTGTCCTTTTTCGTCTTAGACTTAATTTTCTTTGTATATGTAATATGTAACCGCTAAATTTTCCCCTATAGTTTATTACTATTTGGGTGTGTTTTTACAATATTGGCCGTTTCCAAAAAAAAAAAACCTAAGTAAATAGCTTTAAATAAAAAGTCCTACAAAGGTGGTAGGTCCCTGGATATTGATCACTAAATTACCAACCGTATCAAATGCTACAGAGGGTTGGTCAGTGGTCATGGGGTACCTCAAAACAGAGAGAGTCAATTTAATGAATGACAAAATGGGATTATTGAGAGTCAGACATCTGTGCATTCAGATGTTGTACGTTGGTTTCATTAACTAATCATATTTAGTTTCTCTTTAAATTTCAGTTACCAACGACTGACCTGAGGTGTCAAACCTCAAACTGACAATCACGGATCTTTTACTTAACAAAAATTATGACTAATTTATTTTCAAAGTGATTTGTAATCATAATTTTAGAGTAAATGACAGTTTTGATCCATATAGTATGCACATTTTTTCGGTTTTGACCTAGTTTTGGAAAAGTTGATACGAAACGTAGTTGAGGGTATATGATTAGGGCTTATTTATGTTCTATCATGTATTTATAAAAATGGTCCTAGATGTTTCTAAAATATTAATATATTAGAAAGGACAAAACATAGGTAACTCCGTGTATTTTAATGGAAGAGCTTAGATGATAGTTAGGACCAAAACTGATTAATTTGGAAACCATGGTGATGGTATCAGTTTTTCAAAACTATGATCAAAACCGTAGAAATATGCATACCAAAGGAACCAAAACTATCATTTACTATTATTATTATTATTATTATTATTATATATATTTTTTTATCTTAAGTAAACATGAATGAATATGATTTTAAATAATTTGTATAGATATTCTAATACTTTTACATTAACATACTAGTATATACCCGTCTAATAGTCGGTTTGACCGATATAAGATCAAATTTTACTTTCATTTATAGCGTCTTATTTTCATTTGTTCCATTATACCATTGTAGTATATGATAAATGTATCCAATGATATATATATATATATATATATATATATATATATATATATATATATATATAATTGCATTCCTAGTTTTGATTAAATTTTTATATTTTAAATTTAAATAACTTTTTTACACAGAACATAGAACCATGAATTCATTTTCAGTTGGACATACATTTTCAATTTGTTTTCTCACACCCCATAATATTAAAAAAATATTATTAATTTTATCTATTTTCTTATTTATTCTAAAGATTGAATTTATTTTTAATTCTCAAAACTCTTCAAGTTATCCGCCATTATATGAAGTGATTATCTAAGAATAAATTGATACAAAAATAAAAAGACATTTATTTCATTCATATATTTTAAATAATAATAAGATACAATTTATAATAATAAGTGCGTTTAAAACAAGATTACATTATTAAAAACAAGATTCAAATTGAATCTCATGTGGAAATGTGCAAAAAGTTAGGGATTTTAAATTGAATACCGTAACCATCTCCATAATTAGAGGCATAATACTATAATATATCCCATTAATTCAGAAGATAAAAGTAAGTTGATAATTTAACTTTTAGGTTAAAGGAGAAGAGAAAAAAACATGTGGCAAACAATAATTTTTTTTATTAGAATAGACATACGTGGGTTTTATGCACATTGCCGATTCTTGTTTTAACTTCTGAAGTAATATACTATTTTTAAATATACCATGGTATCAAAATGCAATCCAACAATTTAAATAAAGAAAATATATCACCATTTTGTCTAAAATAACATTTGTATATTGCTTGAAATAGATAAAAGAAAATATTAAACTATTGGTTACTTTATGTATAAAGAAGTATTACTTGAAATAATAATTAATCTAAAGTACAAATCATATCATATAATGAATTTTGATATGAAATGAATTGTTGATGTTGACCTACCATGTGTCCAGCTCCAAGGATCCAGTAGAATATAAATTTTATCAGATTTGGTGAACCCTTTAATTACTTCTTGTCCCCACAAGAATTCACGCTAAAAAATATACACCCACGTTTCTATCAAAAGTTAAATACAAGTATTTTTTATTTTAATACACCAAGAAGCTCGTAAAGTTATATGTAAACGAACAATCGTTGTAATCTTATATATAAATAGCAGTAATAATTAAAAAAAAAAATTAAGATAAAGAAGCCATCTTAAGTAAATGTATAAAACGCAGAAATAAATAATAATACATACTTATCTGAAGTTCATTTCAAAAGTCACCTTTTCTGGCTTCGACATTCAATTAAAAATAAAAATTAGTCACCTTTTCCTAATTTTGTTTTTTTAACTACTTTCCGATTTATTATTTTCCATTTTTCTCTACAAATCATCATTTACTTTGTAGACACAGAGGAATGAGTTATGCTTCCCACCATTTCTAATGCTACACATGGTTGATCTACTGGCACCTGAAAATTTCAACAAAAAAAAAAAAAAAAATTCAATAGAATAATGAAAAATAAAAAAAATGATCTTGAGAGAGTATTAAAGTTTACAAAACGACCCTTCTGTCACAGGGAAATCACAAAAATGGTCCCACAATTTATTGATTTAAATAATATCTCAATATAGTGTGTGTAGAATTATAACAAGAATATTAAAAGAAAACTTAGAGGGGGTGTAAGTGTAAAACTTACAAAGTGACCAGCTTCAAGAATCCAATAAAAATGTAAATTTCTGTAAGATTTGGTGAACCCTTTTGTAATTCTATTATCTCCACAATATATTGGAGTTCTATCAAGGTTCAAGAATGTCTTTAACCCTTCCCACCTTTTCATTCAAAGAAAACACAAGGGTAAAATAGTAATTCCACATTAGATAAAGTATAAACACCATGAGAAGAGTAAGATTCAAACTTACTTGAGCTTCTCAACCCATGCTTCGGTTCCCTTTGTTGCACATATAACATCAAGCTACAAAAAAAACACCAAAATGACAACAATAAAGATTTCCAAATTAATCAAGATCTAAAAAAAGGAAAATAGATCTTACTTGACCATTATATATAGTCACATTGACCCCCTTATTCAAGAGTTCATCAACCTTATTAACAAAATAAATGAAACCCATGTTAAAAAATTGAACTTTTTTCCAAAATTTAAAATCTTGTTCTTGATTTATAAAAATCTTGCCTCGTTAATTCTTGGTCGCATGAAATCGCCTTCTAAATATGCAAAAACAAGATTCGATTGTCCTCCCCATCTGTAATCCATATCATTAGATTAAAAAGATTCTTTATGGAATATATTTATATTAAAATATTAAATTTAATAAAAGAAAACTCACTCCACATTATTTGGGATAATCCCAAGTTTCTTTCTAATGGCACCATTCATCAAGTAACCAAGACCACCATTTCCACCTGGAGATTTCTTCAATGAATCAAGATATCTTGAGTACCTCTTCTTTGGGGTTATTTTCGTCATTAGCTCTGATGCTGACATGGACAATGGATCCATCTCCGAATCCAACATGAAATTGTAAAAATCCTACACATAACCCAAAAAAAAAATTGTTTTTTTATTGAAAAAAAATGTGTTAAAACACAACCTATTATAGCCCAATTACCGAAAAAACCATTGTATCCTGTTTGTGTCTATTAAAACCCTAGGATTTTTTGCAATAAGATGCCTATAATATGTTGTGTTTTTATGGCATAACAAAACATTTATGGATTGACATAATGAGAGGGTTTAAATAGTAAAAACATTTAATATGGTGGTTTTTGTGTTTAATATAGGGTTGTATTGAAAATTTGGGAGGGTTTTAATAGGAGGAAATTAATATAATGGTTTTTTTCAGTAATTGGACTATAATAACATATATCCTTTTTTAAAAGGGCAAAATTACAGAAAACACTATTTTGGGTAATTTTGGGGTTTAACAATTTATGCTTTATTTTTCCAATCAACAATAAAAGTTTCAAACATTTTTCCAATTTAACCATTGTAACGGGATATGATATAAATGTCAAAATGGTTGATTTGGAAAATTGTCTGGAAATTTTATGGTTTAATCGGAAAAAGTAAAATAGTAGTGGTTAAACCGAAAAACTGCCCAAAATATAATGGTTTTGTTGTCATTTTCCTTTTTTACAAGGGTAAAAAGTGAAACATACAACGGAGTTGCTATTGGCACTAATCACTTCTTCAAGATCACTCCATGTTTCTGTAGCATCTCTCAGTTTTCCATTTGCAATTTGCTGCTTTATTTTCTCAACTAGACTGTTGTTTCATGACATGAATTTGTCAGAAAAAAAAACAAAAAAATACAATCGAATTTAAAGAAATAATGAAGTCACCTGTTTGATTGTGTCAAGCCATTGTCGCCTATCCTTGAAACATCCTTCAGAAGAGGACCCCACGATACCTAATAATTCCAATTTCAAAAGTTTTTGAAAATTTAAAATCATGTTTAATATGTTCATAATTATATTTGTTCAACGAAAAGTACCACAAAATCTTCAGGTGAAATCCAACTATCTCCCAATGCAATTCCTACACATAAACCACAAAAATCAGTTCATGAACATGACATTTGTGCAAAAAAAGTTATTCTTAAAACAACCCTTTTTTGCATCTATATTTACACCATTTGTCCAAAATCACTCATTGTACAAAGGGGTAGTGCTATTTTTGGTACTTTCACAAGAAAGATGGTTAATTTGAAGTTAAAACTACATACAAAGGTCGAAAAAATCAATCAAAATACAACAAAAGAAGTAAACTTTTTTGGGAAATCTTGAACAAATATGGTGTGTAATTGTGTATACCTCCAAGAATGAGATTTAACTTTTTATCTTCAATAGCTTTGAGAGCAGATAATCCAAGAGTGACTGCATATTTACCACCATAAGACTCTGCTACTATATAAAGAGGACTCTTTTGAAGGGTTTCATTTCTATTAAATATTTCAATCAACAATGTTGTTAAATCAGTTGCAGCCTCTTCATCAGTTTTCACCAATAACTCTCGATCTTCAACAAAACTGTATCCAGTCCCAACTGGATTATCCTAATTTCCCACAAAAAAAAAATATAAACAATATTAAAAAAAAACACAACAATAGTTCAAGAAAATGTATCATAATTGCATACCACAAACAATAGATCTGCCTTTCTTAGCCATGTAGAGTTTCTTGGCTTCAAGGAAGAGTCTAATGGGCCCACCTCTTCAAAATTTCCAGTTCCAACTCCTGAAGCACCCTGAAAAACACATACAAAGATCAAAAACACATTTTTGAAAAACAAAACATGTTTTCACTTTTCACATTTGAATGAAGTCATGAACACAAGTACTTACAGGTCCACCTTGTAACCAAAGAATTATAGGCCATGGGTTGTTTGAATCTTGAGTTCTATAAGGACTTTTATAATACCACCAGAACATATGAGCTTCTGTGTTTAAAAACACCATAAAAAACGCACAAGAATGTCAAAAGATTGGATTTTTGAAAATGGGTTAAACAAAAAGAATTGAAGTATTGAAGCTTAGTCGCTTACTAGGTCGAACTTCGACGTAACCCCATTGTTCTGATCCATCTGAGGTCCCTGCAGCCATGGCGAATCCTCCATGGAAAAGCGGAAGAATGAAGAAGAAGAACACAGCTAATAAAGCGACAAAATGGGATTTCCCCATTTCAAGAGAATCTGAAAGAATCGCAATCGAATTCGGATTTCAGAGATAGATATTTAACTGTTCATTTATATATGAAAGAAAGTCTCGCAATTATTGAGGAAGATGGGTGATGTTTATTTAAGTCGACAAGAGTACACCAGTAAGAACAAAAAACGTGGACGATGGGTTACGATTCATAGTCATATTTATATCCGAAAAAACTCTATTAATTTGGCTGATAAATGAGTGTTTTTTCAAGGGTTTGGTAATCAAAAAGTTTGAGCGTAAAGTGAATTTATGAGAAAGGGATAAGATTGGTGAAGATGGAGTGTAAAGAATGGTCAATTGCTGTCAAGAAAGAGACTTTACTGAACTATTCCTCTGATCAAATGCCTTCTACTACTCACGAACCATAAATATACCTTCTGCACTTGATCACAAAAAGAGAAAAATCCCACCAGAAATTACTGGTCCATGATTGTTACCTTGTAGTTTGATTGCTTTATTCATAAAACCCTTCCTTTTCTTTTACTCTAATAAAACTGATGACATACGGCATACACTATAGTCTATATACATACATATATTATATGAATCCATATTTATCCATATATATTTTATTAATTTTAATTATTAAATATATACATTATTATTAGATATATAGTTTACATATATATTTTAAATCCGGTTTATGCCTAATTCTAATAAATCTGTAGAATATTTCAAAGAATCTTTATCTTAATCTAATAGGCATTCGTGACCTTGAATGTAGAATATTTCAAAGAATCTTAATCTTAATCTAATAGGCATTCATGACCTATCAAGGTCACGGGAATTCTTCAAACAAGTTACATTCTACACACTCAAAATCTCAAATAACCTTAAACTTTTCTTATTTGGTTCTCGATTATTCATTCGTACATATATTGATTGTATCATTGGAGTATATTCTCGGCAGGGGCGGACCTAGGGGTGGTCCACGGTGGCACCTGCAACCCCTAACTTTTCCGGCCGCAGTGGAAAACTTTTCAAAAATTTTCGAAAATTTTATTTTTTATACTACCGTGCAACCCCTATTGTAAAATCCTGCGTCCGCCCCTGATTCTCGGGTTCTGACCCGAGAATATGGCTAACCGATTCATTTTAGGTGATGCTAGATCCAAGATCAGAACTACGTTCCAACCTCATACTACATTACGAATCCAGGTATTTATCATTGGCACCATCCTTGGGACCTTAGACAAACAACCTCAAACTCGTTTTTTCTACGGCCTTATTAAATATGTGTGTCTTCGTTCCAAAAAAATGGAGTACAACCCATATAGTGAAAAGTAAAACATGTGAGCTATTATAACAACAATTTAGTTGTTACGTGGATGATAATTCCATCGTTACTAGAGGTGGAGTAGGTGGCATAGAAGCGGTGTCAAAGTGGTATGGGGCATATACTCCTTCCACTAACTGCAAAGGTTACTAAGGCGACTCATGCCTCATAACCCTCAAAGCATTTGGCGTAGCTTCTCTACTTGTTGGTGCCTCTGTGACCGCCGATTTCGGAACCCTTAGTGGCCCCGACATCTACTCGGTTTCAAATTTTCTACATTACCATCATCCGATAGTTTATAGTAGAACAATTCCCCAAATTTGTTGCACACAATCATTATTCATAATGATGGTCGACATGTGTGTTCAATTCCTTGAGTTTTGACAATAGCGATTCTCCTTCTAAGAATCTAAGGCTCCGTTTAATTACAGAAAAATAGGGTGTTTTTCGGAAAAAATTTCTAAGAAAAATGAGAACTTTGAAAACTTGTTTAGTCAACATTTTTTTTGTAGGTGAGTAGGGTCGGTGTTATGAGGGTGAGTAGGGTCGGTGTAGGTGAAAATGATGACGGGTGAAATGACAGTCAGTCTTAATATGTTTTCTATGCTAACGATTAACCAAATTATAACATCCGGTTTTGAGGCATGTTTTATTTTTAATTTAAAATTCGACTTTGGTAGTCTTCACGACGTGGGTTTGCTCACCCTCAACCTCCACCACCCTCTTTTACTCAGAAGAAACCATAATTCCTTTTTCTCCATTATTGAAGCTTTCTTGAGTGCTTTTGAGAGATCTTGAAGGAAGAAGTAAGAAGGAGTAAGCCAATGATCAACAAGAAAGTCCCTACTTCCCTTCCTAGCTTGATTATGGACCCTTGTAAGTGTTCAACGCTCCACCTTTTTGATAATAAGTTGTTAGATCTTGGATTTTACCCCATTTTCTTTATTATCTTGTTAGTTCGGATGGTGAAACTTCATAAAGGTTGCAACTTTATGAATCTCTTGATAATTTGGAGTAGTTCATGGTTTGGATCTGAAGTTTAGTTGGTTGTTTGAGACATGCATAAGTTTTTGGCCATAAACCCCATTTTGACCTAAGTTGAGTCCAAGACATGCATGTCTAAAAATCACCAATATTTAAGTTGGTTTTAGTGTTATAAGCTCTTTTGGAGCAAATGGGTTTGAGACTTAAGGGATTAAGTGCTTCTTGGTTAAGCTCACGCCATGGTTGTGCTTTATGGACCTAAGACTTGAGATCTAGACCCCTTGGTGAGTCTCAAGGGATAAAGTTGGAAACTTTATCCATTTAGACAATAATAATGATCAGATTTGAACTTTGGAACCTCTGGGATTGGAGGATTCGGCTTAACCCATTAAGACACTTTGAACCCAATGCCCACGGCGTAGCCTAGGCTGCCACGACATGGCGACTGGGGAAACACGTATGTTTTTTCGTTTGGGGGCCACGACGTGGCCAAGGATGGACACAACATGGCGAATCAACTTTGACCGCTGACTTTAACTTTTAACTTGCATTGACTTTTGGTCAAACCCCTAGTTTTGGAAGGAAAGCTAAGGATGTACTTTGTACGGCTGTATAGGTGGTTGATAGCATCTATATTCGCGACAGTAGGAGTAGTAGTGGTTGATCATCATTTGTTAGGTGAGTCTCTTTACTATACTCGTGGGTCAAAGGCACTAATTCCGACCCACTAGATTACGGTTGTAAGATGATAGTTGTCTTTGTAACACTTGCTGATATGCCCGTATGTGCTTATTGTCTTTGTGACTCTTGCTGATATGGTTGTATGCTTAGCTCTATGGGATGAAATAGATCTAGTACCGGATGAAAGATACCGAAGGGGGTGAAATAGACCCAGTACCGGTTGAAAGATACCAAAAGGGGTGAAATAGACCCAGTATCGGTGAAAGATACCGAAGGGGGGTGAAATACACCCAATACCGGTTGAAAGATACCGAAGGGGGTGAAATAGACCCAATTTAGTTTCAAGCTGTTATGTATGTTTGGTATATGGTATTTTGGGGAAACTCATTAAGCTTTGTGCTTACAGTTTTATGTTTATGGATTCAGGTACTTCTGGCTCGAAAAGGAAGGGCCTGACATCATCACACCGTATCCACCGACATTCCGCATTTTATGACATGATTTGTACTCTGATAATTATTTTTATACATTATCACATTCTGATGGATTTTGGAATGAATGAATGATATTTCTATTAGTTTAAAAATAAAAATTTTACATAGTAATTTTTGGGATGTTACAAGTTGGTATCAGAGTCTTGGTTTCAGAGATTCAGGCACACTCTCGGGTGTGTCTGAACTCAAACTAAGGAATTGGTAATCTTTTTGGAAGAAAATGGATTTTCTAAATAGATTTTTTTTATAAAGAAAAGGGGGTGCGATGCGTGTAATCAGCCGAGCTCAAGTAAGAATCTCCCAAAATACCCATACATGTTTATTGGTCAGTATATGTATATGTGTATAACATGCTAGATTATGGCTAAGGATCTGCTCATAATCGCATTATAGGATGCTAGGAGGGATGCCTTGTATGTCGGTTGTATGACACTTTAGAACTGCATGCTAGTATAGATTTCAGATGATCGGATAGAGTGACCTGGTTAGGTAGTGCTCTAGTTTAGAACTTAATGCTCGAATACTGCTTGCTTTGTGCTTTTAGGGACTCCACTTTCAGCTAATTATTAAGCGAATACGTTAAATTACATGTTGTGGGGATTAGATAATTTTTGAAGGTTAGGTTCAACCCTATCGTGCAACTCTTTTTGAATCCAACCGTTGTAGGGTGGTGTGACAACTAGCAAATTTTGGGTAAAACCAAGTCTAAGGGGTCTTGTGTATAAGTGTATCCAAAATGTATATCTATGTAATTTGATGCAATAATGTTATTTGAAAGCCAAGAGGGCACCATTTGTATGATTAAAGATAATCTAAACTTGGAAATTTATGTTGAAATAAACCTTGAAAGATCAATGCAAATCAGACAAGAATCAAATAGTTTTAACATAACAGCATGATATATATTACTCAAAACTGAAATCAACACCATGCAACTCCACTAAGGCCGAAAACACACTCTAAAGATCCACTAATGCCGAAAACACCATGGGAAAAGGCTTAGGGCCGAAATCAATTAGTAAAGTCAAGCCTAGGACCGAAATCACATGTGATTTCGATCATACTAGGGTGTTTTAAGGGGTTTGCGGTCAAGGACAAGGATAAGACAAAGAAAGTTGACTTTAGGATTTGATTTCCCACCCATTTCCAATAAAATAGCAGTATCCCACGTATTACCCACCAAATACCCATGCTTTAACCTCCAGTTAACCAAGCACACATCTTATCATCTCCTTTCTTTTATTAAGGACGAAATCACTCCCTCACATACCACAAATCCCATTTCACTTACTTTATGTAACAACCCGAAACTTTTTCCGTTAACGTTAGCCCGATTCTGTTAAATAAAATTTGAATTTTTATTTAGTTCCGTCAAATTCCTATGGTTTGGAAAATCATTTAAGTCATATAGTTGAAATTTTTATATATGAGTCGGAACCAAAATCGCGCGAAAACCCGAGTTACTTCAAAAATTAACGAAAATCGGCCTGACTGGTGTTCACGGCCGTAAACCTGTTCATGGTTGGTGGACCCCCACCACCGACCATACACCCAGCCTATAAATATGTGCTCCTACCCCTCATTTACATTTTTCTGGCTGAAAACTCCCCCATTCTCTCTTTAACCTCTCAACCACAAACACAAAAACACCCTCATTCCTTCCGAAAATCATCAAGAATCACCTTTGGGTGTTGTTGCGGAGCATCTAAAACGCGTTTTCCATCAAATTCAGTATTGTTGTGCTTGAGTTCACGGCCGCAAACCCTTTAAATCTTCAAATCTTCAAAGGCCGAAATCAGTTCACGGCCGTGAACCCTTCAAACCTTCGTATTTTCTTCAAGAACACTGATCATGGCCGTAAACCATTCAAGGGCAGTTCACGGCCGAGAACAGTTCACGGCCGTAATCCCCTTCACGTCCGCAATCAGCCTATGTCGTGAATCTTGGCTGCAAACCCACTTTTTCCACTTCAATCGAGTCTCGGTAACATTCCTTAACCAAAAACAAGTGTTTTTCAAACACTATAATTAATGGTTTGCTAATAATATGCGTATATGTAT